AAATATAAATTCCCCTGTTACCTCAACCTTTTGGTATCAAAAGGGTTCCTCTTGTATAAAATAAGACTTGGCTTGTTCTTTAACTTCTCAATAAGTTTCACCAACAATTTCCTACAACATATAAGTGATCCACATCACTTATCATGACAAATAGCATTAATGAAGACTATAGCTCATACCACACAACTTGGGTTAATGAGCCATAATCTATCTCAGTGGTCCATATATTAAACCAACCATTCACATAATACTACTTAACCACCAAAACCATTTATTAGCCATCAATAGGCTAATTTTTAATTCATATAATTTTTAATCAATTAAAAACCTTCACTTAGTATCACCAACTTTTACCATTATCCCTTATAATGAAAATCAAACCTTAATTTAAATCTTATTGGGCTCAAATAGCAAAATTATAACTAAATCAATAGACTTAAACTATTGAGGAGCAAAACCCAACCTCTTGGGGTTTAAATTTTGCCTAAAACTCTATTTTTAATTCAATTACCCGCTCAAAACATTAAGGCATCATTTAGAAACTCAAAACAACCTCCCAAGGATCCAAAGAAATCCAAGCTTACAAGAATAAAGCCTTTGGGATCAAAATCTAGAAATTTCTTCTTCCAAAAATTGAAGAAAATCAAGAGGGAAGGAAGATGATTGAAGTAGGGAGTTTACCTATTGTGTAGCTAAGCTCGCAACGGTCGCAAAGCCTCCTAGATCCAGGCCTAACTCCCTCTTTTTCTCCACTATTCTTCCTCTCACTCTCTCGTGCTCTTTGTTTGTGCATTTCTTTCCTTTTTAATTTCTATTTATAGATTCTTTTTTCCTCTTAAATTGTTGGTATAAGACTTTAGGAAAAATTACAATAAAGGGCCCAACATTTTTTATTATAGCACAAAAGCCCGAGTCAACTTTGGTAATTTTTTCCATAGTTAAAAATAAAATAAAACCTAACTTTTACTTAATAAAATTCAAACCCTGGAGCTCTACCAAATTATTCTAAATTTTAATTTAAGTATAGATATTTTATTTTATTTTTTAAATAAATCCGAGTCTTATAATTTTCGAGATGTTACAATTGTCATCTTTATCATAATCCTCTTTACCTTTTCCTCTTCTTCCCCCATAATTGCCTCCTCTTCTTCCTACACTTTAGCTGCCTCTCTTTCTTCCTCCTTTGTATTGACTACCTCCTCTTTAGATTAGAGGTTAATTTCCTAATATGCAACCATCTTGCACAATATTTAGTCCACTTTGGATTAGCCAACTTGAACATGTATCACCTTAAATGTGAGATAATCCAAGCACTGATAGACACCCTTAGGGGAGTAGTTGGGCCTTGCTTGCTCCATATTTTCACCCTTAATGTCCATATGATCTTCCTCTTCATGCTCTTCCTCTTCATGCTCTTCATCACTTTAAAGTACATACTTCTTGATGCTATTGTAAATCAAGGGTTTATTGTAACATCCTGATTTTTTAATCCCGAAACTAGTTTTTAGTTAAGGGTGAATTAGTAATTAGTAAGCGATTAGGATTTGGGATGATAACTTGATGTTTTGATTCATTGGCATGTTAAATAAGAAGATATAGGTAGAAGAACGGTGCCTCAGAATGAAGTGTGTGTGTGTGTGATGAGGATTTTCCTCACTGTGCCATAAGCCATAGCTAATGTTGCCTACGTCATGGTGCATGCCACAGAAAATAAAGTGATAAGTGTGTGGCCAGCTCTTTAGATGTGGTTTAAAGTAATAATTAAGTACTTTTAGTCAATTTGGTTAATTGATTAATAGTGTCAATTATGTGTAGATTGGCGCATTGTGTATGTAAGTTAAAAAGGAAGCTTATAGAGAAGTGATGGTAGTTATGAAATCCACGGGTAATTTTTCTTATGATAGAAGGGTTAAGGTAACTAAATAACTTTCTCTATGTGATTATCTATTGTAACTATTTGAAATTATGAATAGTACTATATGAAAATGTTTTAGAATGTGCATATTTAAAAAGTGGATATTTGACGCATGAAATTGATTTCTAAAGTGATAAGTTTATGAAATTACATGGTTATGTGATTCTATACACACACACACACACATTTATGAATCCTTATGCAAACATGTGGCTTTTACGACAGCATGATCATAGGGGGTGGGAGTTCACCTATAAGGAGAAGTAGTGAGAAGTCCATATGGCATTATTCTCCTTAGTATTTGAAAGGGTTTGGTGTTGGAGAATTTTATCTTCTTAGTGACTATTTAGGTGCGGTGTTGGAGAATTTTATCTCTTTAGTGCCTATTGAGATGTGGTGTTGGAGAGATTATCTCCTTAGTGCCCATGAGGGGTGTGGTATTGGAGATCTAAGCTCACTAACATTTATGTGATACGATGTTGGAGTAATAAGACCCTAATTAGTGTGATAAGCGTAAATATAGTTCGAAAGTGGGACAGAATACCTTTAGCTGAGTATTTCTACCACTAAAGGTGAGCTCAGGTTAATGAGTATGTATTGACCTAATATGAGCCTTTAGTTATAATCAAGGTGATTCGGAGGTTCTAATGGTAGTGACCATGCTATTAGTATTGATTTATTGTGAAAATGATTTTGTGAAGTGAAACTTATATTATATGCTATGCTTAAATGTATATTATGTGATGCTTATAGTTACTTGTGCTAGTTAGTAGTAGTATATTATTCTATTATTGAGATTATTATCTCACCCTATGGTTATATTTTTATAGGTCAAAGTAGTGATCTGGGCAAAGGGAAAGACTCAGGGCCGGCTTGGTGTTGTTAAAGCCATCACTACTATAAAATTGCATATACAGGATGCCTTATATAAGACGGTTTTATAGAAAACCGTCCTATATCCAGCAGGCAGACTATTAGGCACGTATTTTTAAAAATTTTAAAAACCATATAGGATGGTTGTATAAAGAACCGTCCTCTATATTGAAATTATAAAGGACGGTTCTAAGCTTAACCGTCCTATATTTTACTTTGATTTTTAAATTTTTTTAAACAATAGAGGACGGTTGTAATATTTAACCGTCCTGTATGTGGTAGCTATAGAGGACAGTTTTCATTTCAACCATCTTATATAAGCAACCCTATATCACAACTGATGCTCTGCTTCTATTCTTCGATCATTTTTGTTCTCAAAAAAACCAGAATCAGTCACATTCATCATTACTCTCAGAAACTCAGAACCCCATCATCATTTTTATCAAAAACCCAGAACCAAAACCCACTAATCCTTTCAGTTTGTCTTTGTTTGGGCTATGATTTCTAGAATTTTATGTTCATCTTTAGTAGCAACTTCTCGACTTCAATTTATCGTAAGCTCCTTTAACTTCTTAGGTCTGCTCTATGTGTTTATCTATGCTTGAATTAACTAGAAATTTTGTCTCTTTACTACTCACTTCTAAATTTATTGGGACGATATTTGGGGAGAAAAGAAATTAGATTTATAGGTTGAACGTTGATGCGTATAAGGTGTTTAATAAAATGTTTGAAAGGAGAAAATTTTAATGTTATAAGCTCAGATTAAATCGAGTTAGTTGGTTAAACAATTCTGCTTGATCTAGGCTTCAAATTAAACCCAGAATCACAAAGCTTGAAACTCAAAATTGTGCTTGTGCTTATGTATTTCGTCTTCTCTCTTCCTCCCTCATGCTCGTGCTGTAGCTGCATTTAGTGTTCATTTTTTTTCTTTTTAATTTTTCTTGTGGGCAACTTTAATTCTTGCTTGTGGTTGCCTTTCAAGCTTTAATCCTTACTTCCATGTCCTGCTTAGCTTTAAGGTTTATAGGTACTTTAAGCTTTGTTTTGGTTTAATTTATGGATTAAATTTCATGAGCTTCATCTTGAATTTGCTTCTATGACTTTTTTGTGAGCTTGATGTTGATTTTAAATTAAAAAAATAAAGCTTGTAAGCTTTAATGATTGAATTCTAGGAAGTGCATTCAAATTTTTGTACCAAAACAAAGAACTTTGTAATAGAAAAAATTGCATATCACCAAAAACAATTGTCAAATGTAACTAAAAGTGAAGAATATGAAGAGAGGGTTAAGTACCTAGGAAAATCCTAATTTTAAGCCGTTATGCTGCCGAATTTTTGTTTAAAAGTACTAACAACTAGCTAGCACTCTTAAACAAAAAAATATGGCCTTCAGACATACCCTTTTAACCCACGGGCTTGGTTTTCCCATTTTACTCTTCTCAAACAATTCATCTTAATATTCTTTTATTCATATAGTATCATTTACTATCGATCTTTGACTCATTGAAGAGAGGGTTTTGAGTTATTATTGTTATTGATGATTGAATTGGGTTAAAATTAGATTATATAGCGATGATTTTAAGTATGAAGAGAGAGCTAAGTGCTTGGGAAAGTTTTTATTTTAAACCTTTATAGTGCCAAATTTTCTTTTAAGAGTACTGACAACTAGTTAGTACTCTAAAATGAAAATTGTGGCTTATTAGACAATTAAAAGAACTGCAAGTCAAAATATACTTAAATTTATTCTTAATAGTGGGGATGTTTTTATTAGGGATCCCCACTATTTTTAATCAAGTGGTTCATGAGTAATGCATTGATGAGTTAGTAGTTAATTTATTATCTTGCAATACGATGATTGAGCCACTCATCACATGTCCCTTAACAATTTTTTATAGATTTGAGATTATAGATAAAGAATGAATGTCTAAGGATCGACTATCGAGGGAATATATGGAGGGGGTGAGCCACTTTATTAAGGTTGGTGTTGAGCATGAGGGAGATAGTAAGAGCATTGTGTGCCCTTGTCTAAGATGTGGACTTATGAGGTGGGTCACTGCATGAGAATTGGAAGACCATTTAGTGGTTAATGGAATCGATCAAAATTATAAGTGTTGGTATAACCATGAAGAGGTAAGGGACTTGACCAGAACAAGCCATAGCTATGTGTCAAATGACTTTGACATAAGTGTAGGTAAGGTAGATCGTGTTGAAAAGATGGCCAATGTGGTTGAAATGGAACTCAATGATTGTCCTCAAATGCTTGAAAGGTTGAAAAGTGATGCAAGGACATCATTGTACACTAGTGCTAGGGAACACGCGTCAAAGTTAACTGTAGTGTTAAAATTATACCAATTGAAAGCAGAAGGTGGGTGGAGTGATACGAGCTTCACAAACTTGCTTTCATATTTACATGATGAAATGCTATCGAAGGACAACAAACTTCCAAGGAGGTTATATGATGCAAAGATGATGTTGAAATTTGTTGGCTTGAGCTATGAGAAGATACACGCTTGCCCGAATGATTGCATTTTATTTAGGAAAGAACATGAATCATTATTTGAGTTCCTTAAATGTTTAGCATCACGTTATAAGGAGAATGGGAAGAGTCCAAAGAAGGTGTTATGGTACTTTCCTATAGTATCGAGATTTAGACGATTGTATAGAAGTGAAGTGGAATCGAGAAATTTGACTTGGCATAAGGATGGGAGAATTAAAGATACAATGCTAAGGCATCTTACTGACTCTCCACAGTGGAAAAGGATTGATAGTGAGTATCCTAACTTTGTAAAAGACAATAGAAACCTACGGCTTGAGTTATCTACTGACAGAATGAATCTATTTGGGCTTCAGAGTAGTACCCATAGCACATGGCCAGTGATTTTGATAAATTATAGCCTACCTCTATGGTTATGCATGAAGCGCAAGTATTTGATGTTGAGCTTGCTAATTTCAAGGCTAAAACAACCTGAAAATGACATAGACATGTATTTGGCTCCTCTGGTTGAAGATTTAAAGATATTGTGGGAGACTAGTGTTGAGGTGTATGATGGGTACAAGAAGGAAAGTTTTAATTTAAGAGCCTTGTTGTTTGGTACAATTAATGACTTCCTGGCCTATGGTAATTTGTCAGGGTATAGTGTCAAAGGAAAACTTGGGTGCCCTATTTGCAAAGATAGCACACATTTTGTGAGGTTGGAACATAGTATGAAGAATGTCTATTTAGGACATCGTAGATGGTTACCCAAAGGGCATTATTACCGAAGATTAAGAAAATCTTTCAATAGGAAACCAGAAGAAGAGGTAGCACCTCTAATATTATCTAGCAATGAGCTATTTGAAAAAGTTAAGGATTTGGATATTAAGTTTGGGAAACCTTTTGCAAAGCATGTTGGGATAGGTAGGTAGAAGAAGAAGTCAATTTTCTTTGTATTGCCTTATTGGAGGAAGTTAGATGTGAGGCATTTTATTGATTTGATGCACGTTAAGAAAAATGTATGTGATAGTATTATGGGTACGTTACTCCACATTACAGGAAAGACCAAAGATGGCATTAATGTAAGGTTAGACATGGTGGCTATGGGAATATGAGAAGACTTGGCACCAGAAGAGAGGGGAAGCCGTACATACCTTTGTCTGGCTGCCTATACACTTTCTAAAAGAGAAAAACAATTTTTCTGTGAGTTTTTGGCCAGAGTTAAAGTTTCAAAAAGTTACTCTTCCAATATTAGAAATATTATATCTGTAAAGGACTTAAAGTTAAAGGGTTTAAAAACACATGACTGCCATGTGTTGATGGAGACTTTTATTTATGTAGACATATGCTCAATTTTACCAGATAGGGTGTGAGTTGCAATTAATAAACTATGCTTCTTCTTCAAGTCAATTTGTAGTAAAGTGATCAACCCCATAAAGTTAAGAAGCTTGCAATTCCAAATTGTGAGGACATTATGTGAGCTTGAGATGTATTTTCCGCCCACATTCTTTGACATAATGATTCACTTGACTGTTCACTTAGTTAGGGAAGTTGAAAAGTGTGGCCCAGCTTATATAAGGTGGATGTACCCTATTGAGCATAATATGAAGGTTCTAAAAGGATATGTGAAAAATTGAAGTCGACCTAACAGTTTTATTGCTAAAAGGTACATAAGTAAAGAGGCAATTGAATTTTATCAGGAGTACTTAAAAGATGGGAAAAATTTTAGGCTTCCAGTGGACAGGCACGTAGGAAGGGAAGATGGGAAAGTGATAGTTGGAAAGAAATTAATCACTATTTCACAAAACCATTGGGAGCAAGCACACCTTTTTGTATTGCATAACTCAGATGAGATTCTTGAGTATGTTGACAAGCACAATGCTAAACTTAGGAAGGACAACCTTGAAAGAAATGACACTGCAATTGCAACAATTTATAACAAGTACTTCGAATATTGGTTGAAGGCACACATTGTGGCTATGTATAATGTTGACAAAAATTCGGTACTAGAAAGGGTTAGATGCTTGTCTAGGGGCCAAAATGTACAAGTCCTTCCTTATACTAGTTATGTAATCAATGGCTTCACATTTTATACTAAAGAGCAGGATGAAAGAAGCACAATGCAAAATAGTAGTGTAACTATGATTGGTGAAGCAATGTGTGTATCCAGTAGTAAAGACAAAAATCTCATGTATGTAAGAATGTCATATTTCAGAGTTATTGAGCATATTTGGGAGTTAGACTATAGTAAGTTCAAGATTTTAGTTTTTGGTTCAAATGGATTGATAATGAGAATGGTCTTCACATAGACGATAATTTAAGGTTCATACAGGTGAATTTAAATATGTTGGCTTACAAGACCGAGCCTTTTATTTTTGCATCACAAGCTAGGCAAGTGTTTTATGTCATTGATCCTGGTTCACCAGGTTGGTTGATTGTGTTATTGTCAAATAAAGAATTTGGAGAGGCCATCAATCCGCTAGATACTACAGTTGATGATGATCCATTTCAAGGGACAACACTTCAATGTAATGTCATTGAAGATGGCACCAACTATATTAGAAATGATCATAAAGATGGTATTTGGATTTCAAAAAGAGGAAAAAGAATAAAAGAGAAGATTAAGAAATTAAATCAAGCTATTAAGTTGAAAAAGGTTCAGAAGGAGACAAGGAAAAGAAAAAGACCAACTTACACATGTATTAGTTATTTGTGTTTCCATCAATTAATTTTATCTATAACTTAGTTTGTTTGCTTTAGTTATTTATGCTATTTTTGCTTCTATCAATTAATTTTATTTGTGACTTAGCTTGTAAGCTTTAGTTATTTATGCTATTTGTGCTTCTATCAATTAATTTTATTTGTGACTTAGCTTGTAAGCTTTAGTTATTTATGCTATTTGTGTTTCTATCAATTAATTTTATTTGTGACTTGTGTGATAGGTAAATGGCTCCGAAAATAGCTCTAAAGAGATGTAGAGTCACTTCTACTGCCACTTCCCCTGTTGACCCTACTCTTCCTACCACTTCTCCAATTGACATGGCTCCTACTGCCACTGCTCTCATAGCCACTACTCCAGTTTACATTGGTCTTGTTGACATTAAGCATGCAGGCTTGTTGAACAATCCTCCCAGTGCTACTTCTAGTCCTAACAATGAGGGACTTTCTTCTATTCCTAATGGCATGAATGACAAAGAGGTGGATCAAATATTTAAAACAATCAAGAAAGGTCTAGTGATGATGGAGACGGTGTCTAAGAAGAGGTTGGCTGGACTTAAGTATTCCCTTAAATAGAATCCCAAGGGTCAACCAATAAAGGAGAATAAGCATAAATTTAATAGTTACATCCATGCAGTGACTCGATCACAGCTTGGTCTATCAGTTAATGACTGGCGTGATGTTGATGAAGCAATGAGGGAATCGATATGAGAATTGATTGAGGCAAAATTAAAATTCTTAATTAAATGATTGTGTTTTTGAATAGGTGGCATTTCATATAAATTATTCCTTGATTGTGTTATTAAACAGGCGGCATTTCATATTGACACTACTCAAAAGAAATATGTCTTTCATTCAGCTGCTAAGGCACATCGACAGTTTTGATACTACATGGGATTGAAATATATCACATTGGTTGAAAGAATTAGTGGTGAGATTCTTAAGCCACTGAGAGCAATTGTTAGACAAGATCAATGGGATGCATTTGTTGCTAACTGTCTCAGCAATGAGTTCCAATCACTGAGCCAGTGAAACAGGGATTTAAGGGTTAAGAATAATGATATGCCCTACTTAGGATCTCGCATAGGTTATTTAGGCATTGAGCAAGAAGAGATGTGTTTACACACACACACACACACACACACACATATATAAATTTAATAGTTTTTATTAGATTAAATAATATGTAAATCTTTTCTATCATTAACTTATTATTGCATTAATTCATTGCATAGCTCACGAGATTAGGCACGGGACAGACTTCTGTTTCGCGTGCTAGGCTTTTCATTCTAGCCCCAACAGACAAAAAGGGCACGATTACTTCTCCACATGTTCAAGAACTTGTTGAAAAAGTTGTAAGTACAATCTTTAAATAATTTAAATATTTTAATTTAATATTTCCTTACTTAATTTAATATATATATATATATATATATCATTTATAGAGTGCCCTCTCAGAGGAAGTCTCTAGAGGTCAACTTCCAGAGAATGAAGATATCTTGGAGAAGGCATTGGGCAGTAAGGATCACCCCAGTCGTGTTAGGGGTGTTGGCATGGGTTTTACCAGAAAACAAATTGTGGGTGAAAAGAAGGCTCAAAAAAAAATGTCGATACTGAGCTTGAGGCATTGAAAGGATGAATAGCGCAGCAAGAAGAATTTATTGCAATAACAATGAAGACCCATAGACTTGGAAAGTCAACCTTAGAGCCTGTCCATACTCAAAAAGATAGCTGTGCTTTAGCCTTTTCATCGTCATCTCCCAGAGGTATTTAAATTATTTTAGTTTCTTAATTGCAATCCATAATTATTATTTCCTTATTAACTTATATTTCTTTTATGTTCAAGGTGAGGCTGAGTGTTTGTTCCAGGTTGATAGTCCAGATAGACATAGAGTTGCCATGGGAAAAATGTACAATGTCTTGGGGCAACAAGTTCACAATGAGCCCGTGCTCGAGGATGGGTCAAAGGGCTGATTATCAAGCCTAATGATGCCAACTATAAGCTACTCAAACAAAACTATGAGTTAAAAATTATAGTAGACGTGGTTGGCGCTTATATTATATGGCCCAAGCATCTCGTCTGGTTGGGAACAAAAGAAACTCCACCACAGGTATGCCATTAATTTTCACTATCTTAATTCAAATTCAAGTTACAGTCAATTAAAATTCAAATTCTAATAATTGATGTTAATTGGCACCTAGTCTAAGGGGAATGACCCCCCAAACAATTAGGTCAGCTATCAAAGATCAAGAAACAATCAACCTCCAAGCCAGCACTAGTAGATGTTGCTCCTCCTTTACCAAAGATAAATCAAAATATGTTGGCAAAGTATGCGCGATTGGCCAAGATCATGGTGGCACAATTTGTACTACCAAATGATGACGTGTATCGAAAAGAGGTCAATGAGATTGTTGACTTTAACATCATCAATACTGTCCTGACGCGCAATGAGGTTGTCCACAGCCTAGTGAACATTTATATGGGTACCTAATTACTCTTCTTATTTATATATCTAGATTACGGTTTTTATTCATATTTACTTTTGTTAACTTCTTCATTCAAGTACTTGTATGATACCTTCATCATTCCTAGTAACTTGAGATCAAGGTTCATGTTTGTCAATCCCCATAAGTTCCCAAGTTTTAAAGGTGGTCAGAAGGATAAGCGTTTGCAGTAGCAATCTCAAACATTGACCACATACTTTAAGGAAAGACCGGCTTCAAAGGGGATGTTATTTTTGATTCCTTATCTCAATGGGTTAGTTACTTAGTTTTCTAAAACATTGATTGCATTTTATTGTCTTTCTCAAATTTGAATTATAGCATACATCATCCAATTCTCTAAGGGGACACTGGATGTTCATTGTGATTGAGCCAGCAGATCTTAAAGCTCTAAAGGTGTACTATTTGGATTTAGCTCCTCATGGTGGGGATCCAACTAACTGACTAGATATGATGGACCTATTTAATAGGCAAGTATATTTAGTAACTAATATTTTATTTATTTCTAAAATTCTACATTTCTAACATGTTTGTCTTTTGTATATTAGGGCTATTGTGCTATATCGTATCGATGCAAATCTTCCAAACAAGAGATCATTCAACAAATACAAGGATGCCATTAAATGGAATGTAATACAGGTATCTTTAAATTACTACCAATTAATCAATTTTTTCATTTTTTTAATGTCAATAACATATATATTTATGGTTT